GATAATCTAAAGGATGTATCCAGAAAGTACTTGGAGATATATATATATATATATATGGAATATAGGACTCAATAGGCTGCTGATATGGATGTAGGAATCATCCGTATATGTGTGGTTGTGGATGCAAAATATGTTCATGAAATCACACAATATATTGCTTGACCTCTTCCATTGTAGCTTTATTCATCACTTCCACTGTGCATTCTGTTTTAGCTCTTCTGTTAATCATATCAGTACAGGAAACCTCACACTTCTAAAGCTTTACTCATGCTGTGGTTTTGTCTGAATTGTTTTTACTTTCTCTACCAGATGAACTCTTACTAATCCTTTAAAGACCAGCTTAAACCAACTTCTGTGAAGTGCTTCCCCAAATACAATTCCCAACCAGAATTGATCCTTCTTTTTTCTGAGAATTAATTCTAAAAACTAGTCAAGTTTATCTTCATACAGTTCTCTGTGTTTGAACCTTTAGCTAGGGGGGTTTTCAGGCAGTCAAGGATGGTGAAGTTAGTTGTTTTGCGGTATTTTATTTTGTCTTGTTTTGCTTAACTTATATCGATTTTTCTCCTACATCCAGCAACTTGTCAACCCTGAGGATTCTGTCTACCTCACTGACCCTCACTTCAGGAGCAGCCATATTTTCTGTAATAGGGCAATTCCCTTATCTCCACAGTCAGTATATTTGAGCTCACAAAGCTCTGTTTGAAGTCAGTCTGAGTCTCCCACTTGGAAGCAAGATGCCACTGAAAGAGAATGTAAACTAAAGCCCTTCACAGGAAACTCATTTAAAAACCTAGTACATCTTCCTATGCACCTGGTTCTAGTAAAAAGCAACCTAAAGGATTTACTTGCAATTTATTTGTTATTATAAATGAATCCTAGAATTAAAATAAGCAAATGGGTAATTTTTACTTTTTAAGGAGTATCACTGGAGTTTATTTATATGATAGTTATTTTACCTTTCTTCCACTTTTATTTCAAGGATTTTTAAATGTTGCCACTGTGTTTTTCTTTCTTTATGTCAGATTTTTAAAAAACATTCTCATTGTAGGTATCAAAGTAGCATTGGGTCTTGAATGTGAGGAGCTATTAAACATGGATAGATATTAAAACAAATTTTGGGAATATTTTAATGGTTTGTCAACCACCCTTTGATTTTTATCAACAAATGAATGTTGTCCAGAATTCTAAACCATTTCCCCCTCTCTTTGAGAGCACTGGCATGCACTAGTATCTTGGCAATATACACTGGTATCCACCAACACAATACACCAGACATCCATTTGCACGAGGTGATTTATAAATACCTTTTTCTTTTGCTGAAAGAAGGAGATGGTCCATAGGACCCCATCAGAGTATGAATGATCAGCTCAGGCCTACTCCCTACCTATTCAGAGAGGGGTATGGGCAGAACCTAAAGGGGCTGTTTAATGAGGAAACTTATGACAATGTAGACATGAGCTCATAGCCTTAGGAACCAGAGGCCAAAGCACTCCGCAGAGCTTGGGGAGAGTATTCTTCCTTTAATCCCTGAAGCTTTGGCACTCAAAGAGCCAGTGTCTGGCCCTCCTCAAGAGGATTCCAAGCAGTAGGCTTTGACAAGAGGTCTCAAGTGAAAGAATGTCTCTCCAGAGATGGAGGGTGGGGAGAAGACTTGAAGTTGTCTGTGGTCTTGAAGTTCTGCACATGGCGGCTGAGATCCAGTGAACTGACTCGATCTCATTTATACCCACAAACTGCAGAGTAATCAAATGACTGATGCTTTTCTAAACTGTGGTGACTCACCTTATCTTGGTTCTGGCCCAAACTGGAAACCTTAGTGCTAGATTTGTTGGTCTTTGTTACCTCTGGTCAAACTTGGGGGAGCTCTACAAAGTTGGTTAATTCCATTTTGGATATTAATTTAAGCTTCCAAAAATCCTATTAAAAATAAGACCTCTTAGGAAATATTAGTCTTGACCCTTTTGATTGGGAAGAAGTCACACAGAATAAAAGGAACATCATAAGCCTGAAGGAGCTGATCTTATAGGACCTGAGGGAAAGAACTGATCCTCTGAACCGGATATGTCTCTCAAGAAGCAGAACTAATTTGGAACCTTTCCTTTGTGATGATGAAAGTGCCACGTTGCTGAAATGTACAAAGGGGAACTGCCATATGCATAATTTACTTTAGAAGTTGTTAAAAAGTTGATGCTTTTAAAAATGTTTACTATGGGCTAGATAATGTGCTAACCACCTACATAAATTATTACTTTAATCTGCACAATATCTAAGTAGTAGTACCATACCTATCGTATAGGTGAAGTGTAAGGAACTTGCCTGAGATCATTTTGCTAGTAAGTGGCAAAATAGATATTTGAATCAGGTATATCTGACTCTTAAACTCATGCTTTTAATCATAAAACAAAATTATGTTTGTAAGGAAAAGCAGGCAGAGTTTTGAAAGCTCTAAGTCACTGTCATGATTTGCATTACAGCAAAGCATTCTGATTTGGAAGGTTGAATGGTGCAAAAGCCAGAATGTGATATAAATACTGAGTGACAAATCAACCTCCCTGACTGTCTGAGCATTCTGTCACATTGGGCCTTAATTTATGTCCCTGTGCACTATGCAACTGAAGAAAGGAAGAGGTAGTTTTCAGAAAATCTGTTTGCATTGTTGGTTATAGTCAGTTCACCTCTCCCCTCCTTTCCGAAGCCTTCGCTAGGTTGCAGCTCTTGTAGTGGTCTCTCCCTCCCTGCCTTTCTTCCACACTCATGATGGGTACAGTTGACTTGGCAACCAGTTGACACCGCCTTGTGATGAATTCTTGATTTGAAATTACGTATTGTTTAAATGTCAGTGTGCTCATTTCTCTTCTCCCCGTTGGGGCAACAGCCCCCAGGAGGGCAGAAACCATAGCTTATACTTTTTAGAAATCAATTCAATAGTTGCCTGTGCGCAGTGCCTTGCACAGAGTCAGGTCTACTGTCTACCAAACTGTTCAGCAATTTTATAATGATTTCAATACATCAGTCTTAGTTAAATCAGATCTTAGCATGTTTTTCATTTAGAATGAATCTTTCGGGAGCCAGTGAGTATTTCCATCATCACCTTCTTTGGAAATTCTTTTTTTTTTAAATTTATTTTTAAATATATATTTTATTGATTTTTTACAGAGAGGAAGAGAGAGGGATAGAGAGTTAGAAACATCGATGAAAGAAAATCATCGATCAGCTGTCTCTTGCACACCCCCCACTGGGGACGTGCCGGCAACCAAGGTACATGTCCTTGACTGGAACCGAACCTGGGACCTTTCAGTCCGCAGACTGACACTCTATCCACTGAGCCAAACCGGTTTCGGCTTTCTTTGGGAATTCTGTTTATGCTAATTTATCAAGTCCGAAGTTTTTTTTTTTGTTTGTTTGTTTGTTTTTTTCTCTCCTTCCTTTGCCTGCATTCTCAGTCTGAAGTGTTTCTTGTCTGCAGCATTTTCCTGAAATTCTCTGTTGTGTTGCCTGTCCCTCCTTTTCTTTAGGTGAGAATCCGGCATTTTGCTCTATTCCTACCCATTGGCTCCTTCCCTGAGAGGCAGGCGGCAGGATAAACAGATAATCTGGGACTTTGGAGTCACATGTGGCTGAAAATTCTATCTGCACGTAGGGAAATTTAGCTGAGTCTCAGCTTTCGGGTTTCAAAAGAGCTAGTTCATTTCTTCAGCAAATACTTTTGAAGTTCTAGTGTACTAGTAAGTGTATGTACTAATAATATGTAATATGTAATATGTTAATAACATCTCAAAAATATGTTGAATTTATCAGACACAGACCAGCTATCATTACAAGTGAAATATATTAACGGTGGCAAATAATGTCTATGCTTCCCATTCATTCATGCATCCAGAGCCTCTCCATGCCAGCTCCTGGCATTCCCAGTAGGGCACAAGTTCCACACAAGCACATACTTGCATAACAACAAGGACTGTGTGCAGTGTGTAGTGTTTTTATTACATATAAGGCAGTTTAGATTTAAAAGTCAGTAGAGTTGTTATTCTTGCTGTACTATACTCATTAATATCTCCTGGACAAATGTAGTTTGGAAGACATTGTCCTAGTATGCTTGTTTTCATTTACATAATTTCAGTTATCACCTGCTAAGCCACAAATTTAACATCCTGCAAGAAAATTTACCTTGATATTGCTAATTTGGACAGTATTCAAATTTGCATTTCCACAGTTTCTGGCCATCAGAGTGAGTATATTCTGGGGGAGAAATGGTGGAAGGGAGGGAGGAAGCAGGGACTTTTACTGATTCTTACATTTCTGTAAATTTGATGTTTATTGTGAAAGTGATAAAAGGCCAAGTTCACAAAATTATTTAGCATAAAATTCCTAGTTTAAGTTAAATACGAGTATAACTTGGATGACTGAAGTGAGGGATTAATAGAGATAAAACAGGTTTTCTAGTGAGATTTAGCAAGTAGGAAATGTGCTTTTAAAAAACATACTCTGAGACTACAAAAATAGTTATATAATTTTAAGATTACATATAGTCTAGACGTACTCTTTTGCTACATTTAAAATTTTGTAAATTGCCAATTTATTTTCTTATTTCCCCTCACTCTTGGGTTTCATTTTTCTTGGTGCCAAACATCCAGTCTGATTGGTTAAGGGGAGGTGGCTGGGAGGGCCAGTGGAATTTATTATGGCACTGCGCTGGCATTCTAATTTGTGTCATTATCTGACTATCTACTTTATGTCTGCCTGCTTTGGGGCCTAAATACATTCTAGAGGTGCTCTCTGGATCATAGAGAATCTATCATTTGATCATTTTACATTATAGCAGGTAAGTCTTTTTGAAGTAGATTCTAATAATTGCCCCGCTATTGTTCTGTGACTAATATCATTTATTCCTTTGTAATGAGGATAGAGTCAGGCTTTCAGTGTAGTTTTATAGGGTTTGCTTTCAAGCAAGCTTATGTTTCTCTCTTTTCTTACTGCCTGCCTTGGTGTCCTGATAGTTTCAAAGAAAGCATGGAGAAGTCATCATACTCCGACTGGCTGATAAATAATAGCATTGCGGAGCTCGTGGCCTCCACAGGCCTTCCCGTGAACATCAGTGATGCCTACCAGGACCCCCGCTTTGATGCCGAGGTAAGAGGAGTCCTCTTCCCCAGGAGTCTAAAGGTTCAGTTGTCACCCTGTTGATGGTTTTCTGGCTGAAGCAGAAAAGGGACATCCTACAGATTGACAGCAACCCCAGAGTTTACCGGCATTCTTTTGCATTGTTCCCCTCTGATTGGATTGTGTGCATTGCCTATGGTTGATTGACAGGAAACTTCCTCTCTCCACCCTGATTTGTGGCAAAGTGGCAATTAATCTATTAGTGTGATGGTCTTTTATGATTTGGTACATTTTATATTAAATGTACCCATATTCTTGTACCCATGCATATTGTATATTAATCATAATTTGTATTAAACTATGAAATAGTTAATAATAAAAATGTGTATATAACATGGTTATTTTCCAACATATACTAGAACAACTACTGTATTTTTAAAAATTGTTCCTAAGCAACACTAAATTGGTTTGTTATTGTTTAATGTTATTGTGCTGATATACAGAATATACTAAAGCAATATATGTTCTGATTTGTAGAAGTTTAAAATGTGAGATAGTACAGAATATCCTACAGGTGAATTTATCTAAATTTATCGAATGTGTTTACATGTGTGTATTCAATAAATTTTACATTTACTTTGAATTTATTGAAGAGTTAGGGAACCAAAATGAGTTAATGTGGTTGAAGGGCCAGGTGAGAGGCTGAAGAGGGAAACAGCGGCCAGATCACTCAAAGAGGTGAAAGGCGTGTTAAGAGCTTTGAGTATTTATCCTGGGCAATGGAGAACAGTAGTTGGGTTTTAAATGGGGAAGAACCAGGAGCTGTATTTTAGAAAACTCACCCTGCTACAAAACAGGGTAGATTAGTGATAATAACTGAACATTTAATCTGTGCCACCCTAAGAAGTAGGTGTCATCATCCCCATTTTACAGACGCTGAGAGCTGGTCTGAGATTCTGGAAGCAGACAAGGCTTTAGTCCTATCTCAGAGCCCACAGTCTTTACTCTATTCCTTCTCTGTGCTATGTCCAGTGTGTGAGTAGGACACGATGATGGCAGGGATCCTGGAATCTAAGTCTAATCTGTATTTTCAGTCATATCATCCTCACGAATCTCTGCAGGGAAATTTTTAATTCCCTAAACTTACCACCTCTGAGCAATTGCCTGGAGTTCTCCTTCTCCAGGTTACATCTTCCATGTATTTCTCTTCATTATTGAGCATCAGTTCCTTTCATGATGAACTCCCAGTTGGAGTTCCACATTGTGTGTCTCTCCTGTGTGCTCCTTCAGCTGTCCCAATGCTGACCGCCCTCTAGCTCTGTTCGGTCTATTTCATTAAATAAGAATTTTGCGTTATCTTCCTTGGAAAAGTGCTTCTTCTGTAAGGAAGGTACCACTTACTTGGTTCTATGAATGGCAGCGTGGAAATGACTATAGATGTCAGTATTTGTATAGGTAGCATTGTGACTGGGCTATGCCTGATTTTATAAAGCTTGGCCCTTTTGTGTGTTTCTTTCCTCCTTAATTTTAGAAAATACTGAAGAACAGATTTCTAAACACAGTTTTATGAAGTGCTCTCAGTCTTCTATTATTAACATCAGTAATAACTGAACCAACAGAAAGGCTATGCAGAAAGGCTATGCAGAAACATTATAAATTGCCAGTTTATTATTACAAAATCAACATGTTAGATTAGATGGCAAGGGATGATGGTTGAGTGCTACCCCACATTATTGCACTAAATTTAGTATGGATTACTACTATTCTGCTCTGAGCTTTGGACCATAAAGTCAAATTTTGGAGAAGCAAAAAGAATCAACAAACTATACCATTTTAAAAGGTTGGTTCATAAGACAAAGTGTGTAAAAGTATAACACAATATGATTCAGTAAACACCCACCATCCAGTTTAAGAAAAAATAAGATAATTACTTTTGAGTCATTGTATTAACCTTCCCTAATCCCATCTCATTTATTTCCACCACAGAGGTAACCTCTGTCCTAATTTTAACTTAATGTTTCTTTGCTTTTCTAGACAGTTTTATCCCATAGACTTGAATCCTTGCAAAATATGTTGTTATATTTTGCATGTCTCTAAAATTTCTGTAAGTTAAATTATACACTGAAATGGTTTTCTGTGACTTGCTTTTTTGTTCAACATATAATTCCCTAGTCACATGAATTTATAACTCATTTATTTTCACTGCTGCAAAGTGTCCAGTTGTATGAATATGTCTCACTGTACTTATCTCCTACGTTGTTGATAGGCATTTGAATTCAGTACTTTGCTGTCACATGTAAATGCTGGGGACACCCTTGTATATGTTTCTAAGTACACAGGTGCAAGATGTTTTCTAGTGTCTGTACACAGGAGAATGACATGTTGGCCATAAATGATAAGTATCTTCACCTTTATAGGAAATGTAAAATTCTTGTCCAATCATTGTTCTTTTTTTCTCATGAAAAACAGCCATATAGCTAGCATAATTAATATCTCAAGAATACCTCTTGCTAATACAATGTGGTGAGCTTGAATGTACCACATCCTTATGTCTATCTATAGGCAGACTCTTACCACATCTCTTCCTGATTAGTGATGCAGCTTTTTACATTTTCTCCACACTTAGCAGTCTATTCCAATAAGGGAGACTGCCCAATGATCCATAGAACCAACAGTATGGACTGTTGAGCAAAAAGGCAACAATTATTTCTGTGGGATTGAGCATAAAAATTTCATGACCTGATCCAGTCGTTAGAAGCAATGATGTCTGAAAACAGTAAACTGTAGTAGCTAAAGCAGTGACTACTTCATAAAATCACATTCTACTCTATGATAAAATGTGTATTTACTTTAGACCGTCATTATTTCTTGACTTTCTACCTATGTACTTTCCATCTACCACACAGCTAATACTAGATTTTAAATGAAAATCTTAAGGTGCATTATATCATGATTTTTACATGATGTGTTTGGATGGTACTTGAATTTAAAATTATTTTATGCTTCTCTTATGCTGAAGAAAAAAAAAGAAAGGAATTTTTCTTTTTTAAAAAAATATATTTTATTGATTTTGTACAGAGAGTAAGGGAGAGAGATAGTTAGAAACATCGATGAGAGAGAGTCATCGATCAGCTGCCTCTTGCATACCCCCTACTGGAGATGTGCCCGAAACCAAGGTACATGCCCTTGACTGGAATCGAACCCGGGACCCTTCAGTCCCTAAGCTGACGCTCTATCCATTGAGCCAAACAGATCCCGGCAGGAATTTTTCAATATAACTGGAGAGGAGAGAAGGGAGAGGGGAGTGAGAGAGGTGTGGTATTTAGTAGATCTGTCCTATAAATGTGTGTATGTGGTGTGCGTGCTTGTGTGTGTGTGTGTGTGTGTGTGTGTGTGTGTGTGTGTGAGTGTGTGTGTGATGTATCACACCAGAAGAATCAAAATTATTTACCTGCTTAGGCTGTCTTTCTTCTCCAGTGTATTTTTTCCTCAGTAACAAATGCCAGCTGCTTATTTTAATAATGAATGAAGTGGACTTCAGACTGATCCACAGCCCTCCCCAAGATGCTAAAAGGATAAAACCTTCTCTGCACAAAGCCTAATGGTATAGAACATGAAATAAAGACAACCATTTCAGATATGTTTTTTATTAGCATGTTATTTCCCTCGAGATATAAAAACACCATGACAAAATTTAATTGACTTATTATTTCACTAAAACTAATTCTAAAATCATCAAGGATACAGAGGGTACCTTTTAGAACTATGTTGTCTCCCTGCAAAGGTTGTGTCCTCTCTTCTGGTGTCTGGGACAGGAGTTCATATTTTCCCCAGTAATCATTATCAAGTCATTATTTATCAGTGGTAGCACATAAGGGTACAGTTTTGTGTTTTAAATCCAAGGTTGATGACTAATTGTTATCTCCGCTGGGGAAAACATTCGCTTTTTTGTTCTCTGTACTCACTGACTTCCCTGAATAGTTTGCACTTGGTTATCAAGAATGATAATTTGCAGAGAGGTAGCATTGGAAATCCTTTTCAGAGTATTTCTTGTTTTTTTCCTACTGATTTTCTATACACAGACCTAGATAATGCCAGAAATCCAATTACCCTGAACACTGGTATCTGTGCTAAATTTCTCACTGGCTCAATGCTAATTCTGGCAACCTGAATTTTCTTTACTGAGCAGGAAGAAGGAATCCAATTCATCAGGCAATGCAGTGACTTGGAATAGAACGCAAAAGTGGGCTGGCCATATCCTGAAGTTTCTTATTATAGATACAAAAACTTTTAATTAATAGAAATATTAGAGATTCCTTTAATTCACCAGAGACTTGGAGAGCTGAAGTGAGCTGCCTAAGGCCACACAGCTTCTTTGAGGCAGGGCACAGAATAAACTGCACCTCTGGTTCCTAATTCAGTTCTTCTCTGAGTAGCCTTTTGGGAGCACCTGCTGCTGAGGGTTGCCTGGCAGTAGAGTGACCACCCCTTCCTTCCTCTCTCCATACAGGCACATGAACTAAGGCTGGCAGACCTACCTTTTGGTCCTGTCTGCTCCACTTACCAGCTGAAAAACTGTGGACCTACTGCTTGCACACATACTGTAGCATGTAAAATTCTTCATACATATTTTGTAAACCATGGAGTCCTGTATGAATATCAGGCGAAGATATTGGTCTGGTTGAGGACTAGTGTTTTAGTTCCAGGATCTAAAAGTAGATCCTTTCCTCTGCCTGAGGGGCCTAACACAGAGCTGCAGACCAGCTGAATTTGGATCATGGACGAGCCAACTTCAACGTCCCCTTCCTCCAGAGACATGGGGGAAGAGAAAAGTCGCTGCACGAAGAGGACAGTCAGGGTAATTGTTTGTTGACAGTAGAGAAGGGATGGTGGCAATAATCTGACAGCCTGCAGGACTTCAGGAGGGCTAGGTCTTCCCTTTTCTGGTTAGAGAAGGAGCGATGGCAGATATCCACAGGTGGTTAAGGCTGGATGTATGTCCCGTGGCCGTGGCTGCCTTGGGAAGATGA